GAACCGTGGGAAAAAAACTTTGGGGGTGTGCGCGGGTCGGGATCCCTCCGCCGGGCGGGGGAGGCTCCGGGCTGAGCCGCTGCACCGCCTCGGCGAGCGGCGCCCTCCGCAAAGCGAGGGAAGAGCTCCGCAGCGCGGCGGCGCCGGGACCGCGGCGCAGCCCCGGGGACGCGGCTCGGCCCGGCGGCGCCGCCGCTCCCCCCCGGGACGGAGGCGGCACGATGGGCGCCCTGGGCCTGGCCGTGGGGATTTTCCATTACCTGGGGCTCTACCTGCAGCTCGGCGCCGCCTCCCGGCCCCCCCCGTGGGACGCCCCGGCGGAGGGCAGCGGTGAGCGCGGGCACCGGGAATGGGGACGGTTGCGGGGCGGGGGATAGCCGGCGGGTGGGGCGCGCCCGGGGATCGGTCCCGGCGGTGCGGCTGCCCGGGGCGCGGCGGAGCGCGACCGAACGGCGGCGGCGGCGGAGGCGGAGGGGTCCCGGGGGCCGCGGCGGGGCCGGGTTTCGGCAGCACGGAGCGCTCCGTCGCGGCGGGGGCTCCGCGGAGCGAGGGCGGAGGATCGGGGCTGCGCTCCGCCGCTCCGTTCCCTCGGCCTCCGCCGCCGGGCGCGGTGCAGCCCCGTCTGCATCCCGCGCTCCGCCGCCCGCCTCTCGCAGCGGGAGCGCCGTCTCCCCTCGAGGCTGCTTCCGTCCCCTCGCGTTATCCGTCCCCGCGGATCCGCCGGAGGAGCGCCCGGAGGACGGCGCCGGGATCTGCGTGGGATCGCGGCATCACGGAAGCGGGCGCTGCCCCGCGCCGCGGGGGGCTGAGACCCGAACCGACCGCGGATGCTCGGGGCCGTCGGGGGTCCCTCCCGGCCCCGGGAGCAGCTGGTGGGGCCGGGCTGGGACCGGAGCCGGCCCTGGGGGAGGATCTGTCCCCGCTCCGTGGGGTGAAGGCGAAGGGCTGCGGCCCGTGGGCTGGGTGAGGTGGGTGAGCGGCATGCGGGTCCCGCACCGCACCGCTCAGAAATTCAGCAATCGTTAAAAAAAACCTATGAAATGGTGTCCGTGAAGGAGAAAGGACCGAGGGGAGGGACGTGGAGGTGGGGAGCGCACCTCGGAGCCCCGTTACGGCTTTGGGCTGCGAGCGATTCCGCAGCGACTCCCTTAATCACAACAGAAACCTTTATTAACGGTACTGAAAAGCAGTGAGTAAGTGGGTCATGGATAATAAGCCATCCGTGTTCAGTAGGTGAATACCAATTCGAGGAGAGCCGTGCGCCGTATCAATCGCCGCTCGGCAGGAGGGAGGCGGATGGGTCCCCGCCACCGGGGGCTGCGATCGCTCCCTGCGGCCTCTCGGCTCCCCCTGAGCTCCGGGCGCCACCCGGGGGGTGTCAGCGCTGGGCTCGGCCCGGGCGCAGGCGGTGCAGGAGGGGCTGAGCGAAGGCTCCGTGGCCCCGGGGCAGCGCGCTTTGCCCGGTGGTGATTCCGGCCCCGAGCCGCTCGGTAAGCAGCGCGCGTTGCGAGCGGGAGAGCCCCGTCTCCTTCCCTGCATCATTTGCAAACGGTAGCGGCTCCCATCAATAACCGCTGGCTGAATGGCTGAGGGCTGCGGGAGCGCCGGCCCGGCTCCCCGGGGTGCTGCCCCGCTCCTTTGTCTCACACGCCAATGATTATTCTATCAATTACTTTCATAAACACTTTGCATTGTGCCGGATTTTTTCATGCTTCCTGGTGGGAATTCTCCATCCGATGTGTTTTTCCTGCTGCTGCTCGTGCAGTCATTCAGCGCAATTACTTCTGACACCTCTCCTCATCAAATGTCTGCGCGTTCCTTTCCCTTGAAGAAGGCTGGCAGGCGACGGCCGGGCGCTGGGAATTACTACGTTAGGACGCCGACGGCTGATTTTAAGCTGAGCCAACGGTGCCAGGAGGTGGGGCTGCGGATGGGACCCCCTCAGGGCCGGGGGCTTCGCTGCTGCCGGGGCTGTGCTGGGGACATTGGGCACCGCCTCTGTGTCGGCTGCTTTGGGCTCCATGCAGGACTGTGGATCCCACATCCCCTCCCTGCACACTTTCGCCTCGGCCCCACTGGCAGCTCCCCACTGCAGCGCTTGTGCTGAGGGACCCCCGGGTGGATCCTGCTGTGCTGTGCTCTCCTTGGTGGGGAAATCACCCCGTAACAGACAGGTGCATTCCAGGAGTGCATGATGTGTGCAGGACAGGCTGCCAGATGCTGCCGGGGTCCCTCCAGGAGCCAAAGAACCAGGCCCATTTTTTAATTCTTTTTTTGCCACTTCTACTATCAAATAACTGCTCCTCCTTGTTCCCTTTGGGAGCAAAGTGCTACGGCCAGAGCTTCAGCCCCACACGGCTGCTGTGGGAGCAGGGAGCTCCAGTGCCGGGTGGGAGTGGGGCTGCAATGGCAGAAATCCCCCCAGGTTCTGGGTTGGCTCGGCCTGAAGGCACTGCGAGCTCTGCAGGACGGCGATGGCAGAGGTGCAGCAGTGCCCTGCAGCAGTGAAGCCCCGGTGCTGCAGGGCTGGGCCAGACACGGCCGTGCAGCGGGAAGAAGTCTCACTTCATGGCCGTGGCTGAGGCTGGGGGGCTCTGGGGTCTCTGGGCGGGTGCAGCGGTCATTGCATGGTGTTGGTTCCTCACTGTTTGGGTGACCCAGGGGTGGCGTTGCTGCTTGTAGAGTTGTCAGGAGAAGATTTGGTGGGGTGGGAGCAGGAGGGCGGTTTCACCCTGCAGTGCGGGGCAGCACCTGGCTCTGCTTGGGGACACCGCTGTGCCGCAGCCCCTGCAGCTGTTGGTCCCACTGAGGTTGGGGTCGGTGCTGGCACAAAGCAGGGGACACACAGCTGTGTGCCCTCCTGTGCTGCCCTTCCTGCGCTCTGCTGCGGGGTTTTGGGGAGGGGAGAGAGGGGGGCAGGAGGCAGGGGCAGGATGAGCGGAGCGCGTGGCCCTGCTGGCAATTAGTGCTCGGAGTGTCTTGACTCACCCAGCCATAATAAACCGTGAATTATGACTTGGAGCTTTATGAAGAGAAAGGATCAGCCACACTTGATCGCTGCCCGAAACACAATAGCAGAGCTTGGGAGGGGGGTGAGGGGGGCAGCAGCTCTCACAGCAGCCGTGCATGCCCTGCATTCCCCCCACCCCCTGTACCCTGCATCCTGCCGCACCCTTGGGGCCACTTCTCCCCCTCCACAAACCCCTTTTCCCCCTCTCTTTGCCCTCTGTGCTTTGCACTGGGGGACAGATTGGGGGTGATGGTGCCCAGACCCCCACGTGGGGGCTCAGGAGGTGTCTGTGGGCTCTCCTTGCAGGCCCAGCCCAGCTCAGGGGCTGCAGAACAGAGCTGCAGCCATCAGCCCCAAATCTTCATCCGTCGGCCCCAGATCTCCATCCCTGAGCCCCACACCCTGCAGGGCTGGAGCAGGGCTGGGTTTATCCCCAGCGTTGGCAGTTCAGTGGTGCGATGGGGGCCGCTCTGTTTCAGAGGGGTAAATAATTCACGAAGCGAGCTGGTGCACAAACACAGTAATTAATATGCTTTTGCCAATGTCCAATACATATTTAATCGCCTTTCGGTGCGTGTTTACACAAACAGCACAGCAGTGTCAGCCGCAGCACTGCCAGCACTGAAGGTCTGGGGTCTGCAGCTCCTCTGCCCCTGCACGGCCCTGAGCACCGGGATGTGCGCTGCTGTGAGCGCCGGGCTTGGGGCTGCGGGCCCTGAGAGGAGCCCTGAGCTGCTTCCAGGCACTGGTGTGGCCGTGGCCATGGGGCAGGGGGCTGTGGGGGCTGTGGGGGCTGTGGGGGCCGATCCTGCCCCACGGTGGGGGGGCAGCAGCCGCTCTGTCTGCGGTTTATGAGCGCACGGAGCCGTCCCAGCAGGCGTTTTCAATTCCGTTTATCTGTGTTTCCCCATTGAGTTCATTTTATTTCCCCTGATTTTTGTTTCCTGGAAGATTTATCGATCCTGATTTGCTCAGTTTATGACAGGTAGCGGCCATAAAGCAGCAGAGCCGTGGGCCCTGCAGCCCCCCCTCCCTCCGTCTGCGAGGACACGGTGCAATGTCAGGGACATGGATGGGCTGGGGACTGAGGGGGGCTGCCCCATTGCAACACCCTGTAGTGCCGTAGCTCCAACAGGCCCTGCAAGCTGCTTGTTGGCTGGGGAAGGGGACGGGGATGGGGTTGGGATGGGGATGGGGATGGGGATGCACCTTGCACCGTGCCATTACAGCAGGGCCCTGTGGGGTGATGGGGAGAGCAGCACCGAGGTGGCAGAACTGGGGCTGCTGTGGGGTTTGCTCACAAAGGACCTTCCTGCTCCCAGCCCACTGCTGGAAGTCAAAGTGTGGAGGGACGCACCTCTGCCACTGCCGTGCAGGGATGGAGGGACTGCAGCTGCAGTGCTGAGCCCACACGGGGCACAGGCAGCTCCCACACCGCGTGTGTTCCTCCGTTCCCTGCTAAGATGGATTAAAGGAAAGCTATAAGTCTATAGGATTGCCACGCGTCCGGGGGGACGGAGCGATATTAGAGGCATTAACTTTTCTGTCATGCTGATAATAAGTCGTGTTCTGATGGGATCAGGCTCGGTAAGGAGCCCCAGGGCTGCTCGATGCTCAGGGAGTTCTATGTGGGCACCGTGGGACTGAATGGCCGCCGGAGCCACAGCAGCCCCTGGTGGGGACAGATCCTTCCTGGGCCCGGGTGCGGAGCTGAGCTGGGGGTCTCAGCACCGCCACGACTCCAAGCAGTGCCTGTGGGGAGGGGGCACAGCACCGTGCCAGCCCTGGGTGCCCCATGCCCACACCGTGCTGTGGCTGCACCGTCTCCCAGTGACCCCCGCAGTGAGACCGATATGCAGAGGAACGCTGATCTCTCCAGAGGAGATGAAAAGAATTCTAATTACATCTCTGAACAATATTTGTTTTGAGAGAGGAAAGCAAACCATATGGCATGTGGGAGACTGTTTGGGGGCCGCATTAAACAAGGATTTGTTTTTCATTTATGCTCCGATTTCGGCAGGGATGCGATCGCGCTGCGTTCATTCATCGCCCCTTCGGATCCTGCGTCGGGGCAGAGGGCTCGGGGGGTCCCAGAGGCGGGGGGCACAGGGGTGGGGGGCACAGGTTGGGGCTCCGGGCACGGCACATCCACGGTGCCCGCAGCCCCGCTCTGCCCACACAGCGCTGTTCACGGAGACCCCGCACGATGTGACGGCGCAGGCGGGTGAGGATGTGGAGATGGCGTGCTCCTTCCGCGGCAGCGGCTCCCCGTCGTACTCCCTTGAGATCCAGTGGTGGTACGTCCGCACCCACAAGGACTGGACGGACAAACAGACGTGGGCTTCTGGCCAGGTAACGCCGCTGCCGGCGCTGGGGGGGGGACGCACATCGCGCGGCCTTCCGTTCTTCCCCCCGTTTCCATGTCTATCGGCCTTGGCACACGGCTGTCTCCGTTTCCCTTTCTGTTTGCACAGAGATAAGGGCCCAATAAAAGGAGGGCGGCTTTCGGTATCTTAATGAGCCCTCATTACTGTGCGTTTGGCAGAGCTGTGCGGGCTCTGCCATGTGCTGAGGCCACGGGGGTCACTCCTGGCCCCGCTCCCATCCAGGCTCCTCGCGGGGTGGGAATCGGTCGACGGTTCCCCGTGCTCCAGCCCAACTGATGTCCTCCCTTCTCCCCCCATCCCTCTCTCCCAGCAGCTAAAAGCATCACAGCAGGAGGAGGCTGGGAAGGACGCAACAAAAATCAGCGTGAGTTCCAATCGCGGCTTTGATGAGGTCTGTGCCTGGGGGCACCGCAGCCCCCAACGCCGGCACCCATTGCACGGAACGCGTGGGGCTGCTGCACCCAAGGGCTTCTTTCTGTCCCCATCGCCCCAACCTGAGCAGCGCGGGGCCCAGCAGTGCCACACTGGGTGCCATCCTTTGGGGAGAGCGGTCGGGTTTCCTCCCCGGTGCTCCCGATCCAGTTGTGCTCATGGGATCAGAATGAGGAGACACCAATCAGTTCAGTTAAACACGTGCTGCTGGCTGTGTGCTGCTGCCTGGCCCTGCTGCGTCATCCCAGCAAAAGGGCAAAAAGGTGTTGGGCGGCGCCGAGCCCAACCTGCACCTTGTGGGCCCTGCTGTCCCTCCTCATCAGTGGGGATTAGCACATGTAAATTCCATTGCTGGTAATGAATGCCCCAGGGAGACAATATCCCCTTTGATCGATTCCACGCGTGGCTTCCTGAGCTCTGAGGCCCATTTGTCACTTTCCTCCTGATGGACCACGCAACACTCCCAGAATTAATGCCTGGAGCCCAGCGGGCACCCGCAGCATCCCTGCCTGTGCTGGAGGAGCCCTGCGCCGTGGTGCTGGACCCCCCACCCCTCTCTGCTCCCCTTCCATGGGCACTTGTGGCTCTTTGGCAGCAGCTCCGGCCCCATTTCCAAACGCGGAGCCCTCAGCCAACACACACGGCGGCGAGTAGAAAAACGGCCCGTGCCGCCCCGTGTGATTACAGGGAACGGAGCCGGGGGCCTCGGGGCGGGCCATCAATCTGATTTATTGACCCAACCCCACGGCAGCCGCGGCGCTGGCTGGTGAATAAGTCTTAAATTTCATTGGGCGATAAATACCGCGAGCGAATCAATTTGGTAGAAAAGCTAATTAGCGGCGCGGCCGAGCGTCCGTCTCACCCGGCGCAAAACTCCGGGCAGCAGCGAGGGATTGGGGCCGGGGGTCCCCAAGGGGCCGCGGGGGGTCCTGACGCCGCGCTCCGCCGCAGGTGGTGAAGGTGGTCGGCAGCAACATCTCGCACAAACTGCGGCTGTCGCGGGTGAAGCCGGCGGATGAAGGCACGTACGAGTGCCGCGTCATCGACGCCAGCGAGGGCTCGGCGCGGCAGCACAAGGTGAAGGCGTATCTGCGCGTGGAGGCGGCGCGCGGCGCCGGGCATCCCCAGGACACGCAGCCACCCGGCCCGCATCTGCATCACCACCAGCACAAGGCCGGCAGGGAGCTCAGGAAGCGCGCGGCCGACGCCTCCTGCGTGCTGTAGGACTGCCGCTGCCCCACGGACTGACCTCGACGCTGGGCTCCCCCCCAAACCCCTCGCCCCGGTTTGCCCCTCCTGGCTTCGCACCCGCCCCCCCCCCCCCGCTCCCCTTCGTGCTTTGCAGAACGGACCCCATCCGCACCCCCCGTAGGAGGCCCCGTTTAGTTGCTTGGTTCCCTTTCACCCCACTTCACAGCCCGTCTGTCATCCCAGCGGCCATTTTAGGGACTGTATATACTGCCTTCTCCCCTGCTTGCCCCACAGCTGCCCCAGTGTGCCGAGGCCTGAGCCCAGTGCAGGAAGGACGGTGTGGGGGAGGGGGGGGGTCTCACTGCCACCCCACTGCCCGCACCCTGGGACCCCACCATGGGGCACCGCCGCTGGGGAGGGGGCTGCAGAGGGGAGAGGGCCTGGGGTCCTATTGCCCTCACACCCCCCTCTCAGCCTGCACCACCTGCAGCTAATAAAGCTCCTTAACGAATCCTGCAGGCGTCTCTGTCCTTGGAGGGGCTGGGGGGGATAAAAGGGAGCACAGCACAGCTGAGCCTTGCTGGGGCTGCTGTGCGCTGTGGGACTGGGAGCAGCAGAGGGGTTGGGGTGGGCACAGGAGCAGAAGGCATTTGGGTGGGCTCTGCCCTGTGGTCTGGAGGAGCTCTTTCCTGCTTCTTGTTGGCAAAGCTCGGCTCTGCTGCTGTTTATTAAGCCGTGGAGCTCCATTTCCCTCTCGGTGTGCTGATATTAAACGATTTGTCATGCAATGAAGAAACAGAAGCCTGGTGTCAGCAGCACTGGGGGCATGCAGCTGGAGTTGGGGGCTTCACCACGGACAGGAGATGCGATCACATCGAGTGAGCAGCACAGCAGCACTTTGTCGGGGCAGAAATGTGTGCAGCCCCAGCCATGGGGCTCAACTGGAAGCTCCGCTCCACCACGGGCAGCAGTGGCTCTGCTCATCTCTGCGCGTCGTGCTCGGCTGCTCCTCGCCAGGGAATGCATGTCGGGGTGGGAGGGGAGGATCAGCCAGCGGGTAATAAGCGTCTGCAGAAGGAGAGGGAAGAGCTGGGGCTGCGCTGAGGAGAGGAGCAGGCTGCAAATCACCTCAAACGGCGAGCAAACAAATGGCTGTTTGGCGTGGCAATTTGCAAAACCTAGAGGCAGGCCGTTAAAAATAACAGCTTTTATTGGAAGAGATTCATTTCGCCGAGTTGATGGGAAATGTTGGGAGCAGGAGATGGAGCGGGGAGAGAGGGGAGCAGCGGGGCTGGGAGCTGCACCCGCGGGCACAGCACTGCCACCTGTGTGCAGGCTCACTCCGTTCTGCATCACAGGCGAGGTGAGGTGGCTGCAGCCGCTGCCTCCTGGCCTCGTGGTTCTCTATGGTGTGCTCAGCCTCCAGACGGTGGGTAGCTGAAGAGCAGCACTGAGGAGCAGCACTGCTGCCACCGTGGGCTCTGGCACAGGCGGGCCTGGTGGCTGTGCCTGGGCAATGGGTTTTGAGCAGTGCTACAGCAATCCTGCAGCAATCCCAGGAGGGCTTTGGAGACTAAAGGGAACATTTCGCCCACTGCCTCTCCTGCCTTCCCTCATCGGGTGATCAGCTCTGAAAGGCTCCCTGGACCAAATGCAGCCTGATGCTAAGTGCTGTGTGTACTTAGGAAGAAGCACGAAGGGTAAAAGCTGAGCTGCAGCCTTGACCTCTTGGTGAAAAGCCGCTGAGCTGCATTCCTCATGGAAAAACAACCAGGAGCAAAGCCTAAGCAAAACCAAGGTGAGGGAAACCACCTCAGCAGCCCCCGCACTGCACTCCAGATGCTCAGCCAGGATCCCTGGCAATAACACACAAAGCTGGTCCCATGTAACAACCCATTTATTTCATTGCATTTTCTATTTCTGAGCTTGCTTCTGAAATGAGAGCGGAGATCTGCCCTTCTGTGTTACCAGCATCAAACTTTCACAAGGCTCTGTCTGCGAGCAGTCGGCTGCCAGAGGCCACGTGGGACGAGGCTGATGAGTTTGGGGTGGATGGAGCAGTGCCTGCAGGGCTCGGGGCAGCCCCAGGTGAGTGCAGCAGGACCTGCAGCCTTGCACCAAATGTCATTGTCTGGCCACACGCACGCAGCCAGCAGCCTGATGCTTCTCCTTGGGGTGGGCGTTAAGGATTGGAGAGGTTTGAGAAATAGCCTGCAAGAAATGGCAGGCAATCTGGGAATAAGGGGGACTCTTAAATCACTTGCAAGTTGTAAATCAAGGCTGGCTGTTTATCTAAAGGATCTGCAGCGGCTCAACGGCAAGAATCAGGCAGCACGATTCATTTGGCCTGGCTTAAATAACTATAAGGGAAAACCTCACTATTGCTAAGGGGAAAGCAGGATGCTGTTCTCAGTAATACTGGTGAGGCATTCCCTGTAAATGGATACAGCTGTTGTTCTTGATTTCAGTTAATATCAGAAGAGGATTTCTAACGTGCCGCCTCTCCAGGAGGGTGAAGCATTAGTTTTCAGATGGCAGTGATGTCCCAGGTGGGGACGGGACACAACAGCTGTAAGGGCAAGGGGTGCCGGTCTGGTGCTGCAGGGATGTCACCCAACCACCGAGTGCTGGGAAGTCATGTCTGGAAAACAACTCTTTGTCCTGCAGATCTGGAAAGAGCTGTGCTCTGACCCTCCGATCTCCTCCAGCACAGCGTGCAAAGTACAAACCTGGAGGAGCTGGGACGAGGCACCCACCTCACCTTCACACACTGCTTAAAGGAAACCTTTCACCCACGGGGAAAAGGCGCCTCAGTCAGGACCCAAACAGGGCCGTGGTTTCCCCTGCAATGACGCTGGGCATCGCTGCTGGGATTCTCCCAGGTGAGCGCTGTATGGCGGCGGTTCTCCTCTCCTCTGCCAGCTGCTGTGAAGGTCCTCACGGAGGAGGTGCCCTCTGTGCCCCGGCGCTCTCCCGTTGCTGCAGTTCCTCCAGCAGAAGCAGGATGTTGTTGGTGAACTCATCGCGCTGCCTCCCCATCCCACGCAGCTTCACAGGCTGCAGGCTGGCGTGAGGAGCCTTGTATGGCTGTGGGCAGCACACCTCAGTCAGGAACAGCCAGGTGCTGTCAGGGTCCACACGCATTAAGTGGTGGAAAACGCTTCAGAAAGCAATGGGAAGAAAGGAGAGATGAGGAAGGAGAAAGGTTTTTTTTGATTTACATCCAATGGGGTCATTATAAGCAGCTCAGGAACGCATTGGCTCTGTCTGCATCCTACACAGCTTTCCAGGCTGGCCTCTAAGAGCTGAATGCTGTTCTGAGGGTCTGTCTTCCAGTCTCTCCCACTCTGATTTCTTATGAACTGCCTCTACATTTTCCCCCTTCTACACAGCGTTTTCAGAAAGCTGAGTTCCTTCCCTTGCCTGGTGCTGGCTGTGCTGCTGGGAGCAAACTGTGCTGACTGCAGGGAGCAGCAGGTCCCCTCTGTCTCCCTGGCTTATGGTGGGTGGCTGCACAGAAATCATCCCCATTCCTTCAGCCTGGGATGGATCACAGCAGGCAAGGAAGAGGAATCACTGGGAAGTCAATGTGGGAATGGGGAATGCTGTGCTCCTGCCATCCATCTCCCCAGCTTCCACTCCTATATTCACAGCACAGAGCTCCTGGTCTCCAACCCTTCCCCAAGGGATCTGCTGCTCCCCAGACAACTCCACTGCCTCTCATGCCCACAATGGCTCACGGCCTGGGATCATCTCCTGTAACCCGGACTGCTGTGCAGCAGCTTCAAGAACAACTGGACTCTTGCAGTTCCAAACTCTTTGGGTAGTATCTAAGCAACCTGTTTCCATGGCAAACAAACCTGGGGTTAATCCAGGTTTGTTTTCTGTTGTTGGTTTTTTTTTCTTTTTAAGTTCAATATCATTTCATTCAATGCTGCCACGTGCAGGTGGCTGTCTTAGTGGGTTTCAGCCCAGCTTGCAAATGACAGCTGTTAGTAAGAATCCAAGAAGCTGCACAGTCAAAGCAAAGGATGTCGTTAATGCTGTGTAATCAAATATGGTATCTAAAAAGATCCCCAAATTGCTCCAATTTGTTCCAGTTGTGTGAACCAACTGGTTCTTATGGCACAGGGCAGTGAGGCTATTCTGGTAACTGGGCTTTGCCCAGGCTCAGAGCAAAGCCATGGCACAAAAATGGGCTGGCAGAAGAACCAGCCTGCCTGGCTTTCGCAGCTGTGCTGGGTAATAACTGGAGATGGGTCACTGCAGGCTGCAGCACGAGCAGGGAAATTATTTCTGTGCCTCAGAAAAAAGCATTCCTCCCCAGAACGGTGACGGAAAGGTCAAATGGGAAACTTCACAGGCTGTAAACATTTATTAAAAAGAAGTGTAAATTTCACAACAGTCACTTCAAGCTGAGAAAAATGCCCAGCTATTTGTAAAGCGCTGACATGGGCCAGTGACAATTTCTTCATCTCTCTCTTTTTTTTCCCTTTTCCTTCAGGGTTTGATGTTCTGTTTTTTCCCAAGCTGAGGAACTTAGGGGTGATGCCATTCAGGAAGTGCATCAGATGCTCAAATCCACGTTTTGGTTTGCACCATTTTCCCCCCCATCTCATTCCTGACCCCTCACAGTGCAGCCCCTCAGCTGCACAATGTCTGCTCACCTTCCTTGAAGGCATGCTGCCTCATTTTCCATCAAAGCAAAGCTGTCCCTATGTTCCCTGCTTTTCCCAAACCTTGGTGTTTCGGTTTCTTAAACCAAGATTTGGGTAATGCTTGTCTCCTGGAATACTACCAGCAGCCATAGGAAAGCCCTGCTTTCCCTGCCTCAGACACGCTGCAGTTCTCCTTTTCCCAGCATCTATTTTTGCCCGTTGAGTTCTGCACAAAGCTGCATTCACCAAATTCACTTACTCCCACTGCTTCATCCAATAAAACTACAGGGTCCCATAAATGGGATTAAATGGCCTCCCTGGAGCACCGTAACGTTCCTGGAAGACAAAAATCTACTTATTTTTTTTTGGTGATGGCAGCACCTTGGCCCAAAA